AAAAGAAGTTCAACTTTTTAAATTATGCATCTTGAGGCCACTGCTTGTGTTTCACATTTTTAAAAGCAAAAATGTGTTCTTTGTGAATGGCCCTGAACAGATTCTGTAACATTCTTCAGGAGTTATAGACCGCCTTGAATAAGGGAGGCACCTCACTAGGTTTTTGGATCAATGCTAGTGTGTTTATGGCTGAATCATATTGCACAATGTGACTGACCATGATGAACTGCTAGGCCTGATACCTGACTTTTATTCACACTATAACACACAAAATGTGATTCTATTGAGTTACTCATTCATGCCCAGAAGACTTCTGTGCTCTGTTCTGACCTCTTACGTGATGCCTAACGGCTTAAGAAAGAAGAATTATGCAGCTTTCTCTCTATTCTAACCCAGTTGTATATCTAAATTTGCCCCCTAGGGGGATGTAGCAGCGTGATTAAACTTGGCTCAGCCAAAGCAAAGCACAGAGCAAGAACTCTCCCTAACACTATCATTAGTAATGTTGATGTGTATTAACAGGAGACAGAGAAGAAAAATACTAAAGCTTATAATGATAATCTCTTATGGCTCCATGATGTAAAAATACTGGTCACATGACATAAAGTGTGTATTTTTGATTTCAAATTTAATCTAGACTCAAAAAAGTCTTAATTATTTATGACCCAAGGGAAAAGAGGAACATTAGATGATTTAAGCCTGCAGAGTGGCATCCATATGTTGCAAAGCAATGTTGCTGCAGGGGTTTTTCAGTTATATATAAAGAGGATATAGAAAATAGAATCTGCTAAGCTATACATACCTTGCTTATTTCTATGAATTATGATTTCATATATGATTTCATATGTTTATTTAATCAAAAATACATTTTATGATACAATTTAAAATAACTGTTTTCTATTTGAATATATTTTGAAATGTAATGTATTCTTTTGATGGCAAAGCTGATATTTCAGCATCATTACTACAGTTTTCAGTGTCGCATTCTAATATGCTGATTTGCTGCTCAAGAAACATTTCTTATTTTTTATATTCTTCTTATAAATATTTTTGCAAAACATTATTTTTGTAAAATATTTTTGTAATGTCTTTACTGCCATCTTTGATCAATTTATTGTGTCCTTTCTTAATAAAAGTAATAATTATATATTTAATAATATATATATATTTTAATTTTGATTAAAAGTTAATTTAATAATTCAATGTATTACTTGCCATTTCTTTGTGGTTATTTTTTCTTTGCAGTTATTACTAGTAATTTCTTAGTGGAAATAGTTTCTACACCATTTTTAAGTATATGTGTACATATATAAAACTAATATGTTTATATCATAAAATATATATGATTGTTCATTTTTCGGCTGCTTGTAGTGGTTCCAACCCTGTTTTTTACACCCACAACTGTGAAACTGTGGTATACTCTTGTGTATGCCATAAATATCAGATGATCTTTATGTGACTGTACCTGTAAATATGAGGGTTGGACTTGGATTGATATAAAGTGTCCTGGATGTCTCTGCTGGTAGCTTCAGGGTTTTAAATATGTGTAGATGTACTGCATGCTAGCACAGATTTAGTTCTGCTTCTATATTGAGAACATTAGATCCTGAGCTTGCTGAGGCATGAGTGAGCAGCTGCAGTGTGTTTCCTGCATGTGCGGGGGGTTTATTTTTGAGAACAGGGCATCACTTTGCTTCAGCTTACATTTCCCAAATAATTTGACTGAGGGAGGTGCAACGTTTGAGCCGAACGGCTCTTTTCCTCAGAACAAGATTTTTACGTTGTCTGGGCTGACTTCAAGACATATGTAGTTTAGTGCCGCTTGTTTTGATCTATTTCCTGCATCTGTTTCCAGGTTACCTGCTTATTTAGAAAGGGGGTCTGACTGTGTTGGTGCTGACGTGGGGTTTCATTAAATCTGCAGCGCAGAGCCTGGTTGCAGACTGATAGCGTGGACTGCATTAGTTTGGTTACAGTGAGTATACAAAGACACTTTATTTGTGAGTGAGTCTCTGTCTCAGACCCGAGAACCATTCCAACATCCACATCTAACTCATCTAATTGTTCTGCCATGACTACAAATGACTACATTGACCTTGAAGTGGATTCTATCTCATACACATGCACACACTGCTATCGCTTCCCTCTCTCACACACATACTTTCTATTTTCAGGCCTCTGCTCAGTTCATTTTGTGATTGCCACATGGATCTCCTGGGGCTGCCTGCTGATCTACTGTGCACAAGGTGTGGATGTGCTCTGTGAATCGTAGATGGTGGTAGAGAGCCTCGGGGTAACAGTAAGCCACAAACAATTGCAGTATGGTAACTATATGTTTAAAATAGATCAAAATCATTTCGATCTGACACAGAGTAATGCTGCAAAAGATTTTTTTCTTCTCAGAGAAGAAACCATGGGTGCAGCAGGCGCGTTCCTTGATTATTACGCCGGAATGAGAGTATAGTTCCTAGCCATATCAGCCTAGAAAATCGCAACTTTTCATTTTCCGTCGGTCTTCATACACGATGTAACTACAGAAGAGTAAAGTTTTAAATAGGAAAAATATTGAAACTCTTTGGTCATTTTTGAGCGAGATGCTAACGGTCTAATCAGATTCAATGATCTATGCTAAGCTA